TAATTGTATGTCATAGCAGCATCTCATCTTATTTATTTTATTAATTTATAACTTTATTTAAATGCTATAATAATTCTTAAATTGTACACCTACTTATCATAATCTTATATCTATTTCTGTTGTTTTTTAGAGGCTATAATCTTCTACGAAAATCGTATGTATGGGACCCCACGATTCAGGCTTGCCTAGTGTGGGGACCATGGTAAATTTAAAATTTGTAAACATTTTCGGTCAAATAAATTTTATTTTATTTTATTTATTTATTTTATTTTACATACCATTAGGGAAAAGAAGTGTTAATGGTTTTATTACCCTATTGTAATAGAAAGGATAAGTTGTTCCAAGAGATAACATTCATTGGTGCCAATAATACTTCTTCAACTATATATACCTGATAATTTTAAGTAGCAAAAGTTTTATTCGTCATTTGTATCAACTCACACAAGCAAGTATAATACCAACAAAAGTTAACTACAAATAAAGACCACGCGTCTCCTATATACTCGGTTCACACTGCGAGATCAGTTAATTGTACAATACTTAATTAATTTTGTAACTACTTTTAATTTAGTAAGAATTGTATGGCGAAATTATGTATGGTTCTAACTTTGGAGTGCATTTCTTTTGAACCATAATTCTAGAATGCGACTCCTGTAGATCAAAGTCATTCTACTACTTACTGGTATAAAGAATTCAAATGTTTGTAAACCGAAATATTACAGACACTGATTTTCCCAATACCAATAACATATGTGGTATAATTACTAAGATAAAATATTCTAAACCCGTGGCGCCTATGGGGCGTCTGCTACACTACATAGGGGATGCAGTTATTTTGGATCCCGGCCAAACTGATTCATAGCAAGAAGTTTTCATTGTTTGTTTTTATCATGTTTTTATAATTGGGTAGTCTAGTCTAGTCGCAAACGTGCAATTATATTTTTGTCGTTTAAGACTGTGTTTGTTATGTCAACCTTTTCCTTTGCGCTCATTTGTGTGTCTCAATTATCATAATGTTCCGATTAGGAATAAAAATGTGTCAATGAATTGGATAAAGGTATAGATAGTATCTACATTACTAGTAAATAAATGCTTTGTGACCTAAAAATGCATATAATAATAATAAGGATAGTATACTATATTAATGACAATGATTATAATAAAGATATTTATTCACTCTCACAAAAGAAAGGTTCAAATAATTGAAATTAAACTAAACGAGCGAGAGACGAGTGTAGGTAATTAGACCTTTTGTTTAACGTCAGGAAATCCTCATGGATACCCTTTGCCCGGGGGAAACAAATGGTATGTCGGTCTCCTACCTACTGAAACCTGATGGCGTGGGGCGCCCTCGCATTCTTCCACGACGGCGGGCGGTGAGCGGTTCGACTAGGCGCCGATCCCCATCTCGCTGTGCGGGGAGAGATGTTGTGTTGACTTCCCGTCAGCCGACTTGAGAGGCGTGCGTTACACCTGTAACACAAAGGTTAGGAGCCTGAAGACCTCTTTAGGCTCCTAACCCTTGTGTTACACTCATTAGTGTATGTGCGTTAAATGGTGCTTTATTCAGGTTTTTATCTTATTTTTGAAATAAACAATATATAAAATAATAAATAGGCGATGGTCCAAGCTGGGCGGGGGCATTTTACAGCGAGTAGCCGGCGCCATGGCGGCCTTCGCCAGTCGCAGTTGATGGTCGATGATGTATTAGGCATATACTATTGGCGGGGACGAATTGGTATAATAAGAAAGAAATATAATCTATTTTGGGAAAAGCTGGCTTTCGACACTGAAGAATCCTAGTTCGACTATAGGCGTATTGTCACCCAGTATTGTGCACTATACAGTTATCTAATTGCATACCTCAATACAACATACCTGAATGCTTAAATATTTTTAATAAGTATCACGGAATGAGGAACGTACTATACAATAGTGAGTTTTTCCTTAAGATATTTCCAGTTCCTACCACGGCGAAATAGAAGTCTTGTTAGAGAATTAAAATCTGAATTTTAATTGTATGTACCAGTTGAAAAAAACGCAAGTAATGTAGCCCACAAAAACGACGAAAAATCGTTACGGTCAGACGGTGCCGTTAATCGATACCGATTGATCTTAACGTGTATATGAGAAAATTGTAGATACAGTTTTGTACGATTTTTTAAAACTGTATCGTCGAACGGAACAGTTTCAATATTTGGATAGACAAACCGGAACCGGATAACTGTGCGGCAATAGTCGTCATGACTGTCGACGGCGTCAGTCTTAACGTCGATTTTCTTAAGGCGAGAATTAAACCAACAACCTTTAAAGAGTCGTCTGTCTTCATCGCGGAACGCTACGGATGAAGATCGCTACGATATACTGTGAATGGGCATGAATGTGTGCTAAACTCTACGTCTGTCTCTGCAGCTAATAAGCTCCAGCGAATTCATACCCAGACTCCGGATCCACCAGAGACGTAAAGGTGTATCATTGGCGGACGGCTTGGTCCGGACGCCCGCCGGAGAGCCCGTAATCTCCCCGGATATCTATATTTGTTTTTTCAAACAAATCAACAAATAAAACAGTTTCGTAATAAGTTTTACAAAAAAGGTGGGTTTCGTATATAATAACCAGGGATCGGAATAGGTAGAGCTTTTCTACCTAAACTTCAAGGAACATAGGGAGAAAATGGAGACTGCCTCACGACAATATTTTTTAGGTCCTGGACCTGTTCGGGATTCGGGAATTCAGTTAAGTACATTAAAAATTGACGTAATTGGGGACAAGCGGGTACATTATATTTATCTTGAAAAAACTTTACCTATTCCGATCTCTGATAATAACGCTCACGCTCATATATGAACCCGTCCTATATGAATTTAATTTGCACTTATATATTCAATGTACAATCAGCGTTTGGCGGCTTGATACTTTGTACTTCGGATCGTTCTTATCGTAAGCGGCACAGAGTTAAATTTAAGTGTCAAGCTTGATGTGCTCTTGACCTTGTACTTAATATATTTATTATGCGGTTTTTTATTTTTAGTTTGGTGCATAGTTTTTTTAGGTTTACCATCACCACGTAATAAAACACGGTATTTTCTTGCTCTAGGCCATGGGGAACACATGGCGAGTGACAGTAGTATTCATACAAACAAACAATCATTATCGAATTGTTTCATGTGTTTTAACATATTTCCCACAATACGAAGCAAAAAACAAGTGAAATTTGTGGAAATTTGGCAAAATACCAAATTTTAGCTTGGCCACCAGTAATATTCGACTGTCGCCCCCATGGCGTTCAACGTGTTAGGTTCAATTTATATTGCGGCGAAGCGGAATGGAAGCGAATTTTTGTAACGATATTGTACATAGCATAATAAACTTTATGGTCAATTGTGTAACGTACAAACTAGATTCCAAAATCTTCCGCGGAATCGCGAGCATTCATGAGCATGCGAGATATAAATTGAGCCTTGTTTTTTGGCGATGGTATTCCTGCTTGTAGTGCTTTTCGAGATCTCTACGTGATTTGGTCACAAATTCCTAGCCTGAGCATAACTTGGTAATACCCGTTGGTTCAATTTTTTAACTGAAATATAAATGGTGAATTTTATAGCTACGAAGAAAACATAAAAAAAAAACAGAAAGTGCATTACACGGTTATATACCTTTTTTCTGAATAGAACCAAGTATACAATGCCAATTTCGAAGCTATTATCGAATTTTACGAATATAGACGATTCCAGAGGACAATTCTTTTGTAAAGCAAATAATATTCCCGTTCATCTATTTGCTTTTGCAAAACTGTTTGATCGCAATTCCACCGCAGAGTATAAGGGCTACGGATGTGACTTTTACAATGGAGGGTTTCGTTACTGAATGTTTATTTTCCTAATAAGATAAATTAGCATTTGGGATCATAAATGTTCAAAATACAATGACATGCTACAAGGAATTAGGGGACCACTCGCTATTTTCGTTAATACATTTAGTCATCTGGTCAATTTCTGTAAATTGCCAATGCCACCTAAATCTTTAACTCGTCAATTTGCCCACAAGGAATAACATCAGTGCTCTAATTTCGATTCGATCAACTTTTATATGAAGTACCTGAGCTAGACGCGCGGTGCTAAATGCTTGCAGTCGGTGTCGGCCGTCGGCTGCATGGAAGGAAAAAAGGCAATGTTCTGTGCTCGGCTGCCTGCAGTTCTTTTCCTATTCCAGCGTGGACAATGCTTTTTTGAACAGCGGACCGGTTAACTCGTTTTTTTTGCGACCAGAACCAGAACGAAATGGCGACGAAACTTTTTACCTGCCTAGTCACATTTCCAACTATGTTCACGCTGGAATAAACCACGCAAATATTTTTAAAATTCAGAATGCAAAATTTCAATATATAACATTTTACATCCGACAAAATTCTACATTTCTAAATATCATTAAGAGTATTAAAACTTATCATTCCACTAGTTACACTCGAAATGTCGCGTCTGAAAGGGCATGGAAGACTGTGTGGCCAAAGGTTTTCTTATATCGATGAGTACCTATCGGTTATTAATAGCAGACACCCCTCAGATCTTTTGTGATCTTACAGCTCGGGAGTCGCAAAATAAAATTAGTAGAGAGTACCAAAGATATAGGAATGCGGATGCGGTTACTTTCAGATCCTGCATGGCATCTTAAATAAAATTCCAAAGTCGGTCATAATAATTTTATTCGCATATAATAATTGATTATGATACATGGAGCGTAAAGTGCACCGTTCGGTTGTCGCCGAATGGTACTTGACCAAGACTGGCGCTCCAAAATTACATTTATTATTCATTTATATTGCATCGACATTAATTCTGCAAACCATTGCTACGTAAATATTCACTAGTGAGAGGTCTCGAGGCAGCATCGGTCAGTTGGACGTGTGGTCCTCGCGACACATCGGTCGATGGTGGCGAGGCCGTCGACCATTTGCGTTGACATATACTTAAATATAACAGTCAAATAGACAGCCGGATGTCCGTCCGATCAATATATTTACATACAAGCATAGCACCTCTCGGTATTTAAGGGCCGCCAGGGCCGACTCGAGAGGCGGAGTTGACGAATCACACCGCGAAGGAGCGGTGTTGATTTGATCATTACGAATCTTAGATAAAATTATAATCACTTCCATAATTTACGACTTAATTTAAAATACCGAATAAGTAATGTCGTTAACGTCCAGAGACGTCAATGAGGTCCGCACCCGACGGCGCGGAGCGTCAGCGTCCACCGGGGCGGACGGGCAGTAACGAGACCAGGCCGCTTTAGGCGGCTTATTCCGCTTTCACCTCGGCGGCGGGGGGTGCCTCAGTCGTGGCGGCCACTTCGGCCGGTTCCTCGACGGGTGTTACCACGTCGACGTTCTCCACCGCGCGCTCCGCACCACCTGCGCCATCTGGAGTCAAGCAGGGACGTTTGTATATCTGCAGACACATGACAATATATCAATGATGTGAAAGTTTCACTTACTGCGTTGGTGGTGCTGATAGTACACGTTCTGCCTGGGCGGCTGTTGCACGGGGTGTCCATGCGGTCGCTGCGGCGGCTGCTGCGGGGCGGGAGGTGCGCGGTACAGCGGCAGCGCGGGCGCGTGCGGCCGCTGAATAGGCGCAGGGTACCGCGGGGCCATCATCCCCCCACGCGCTACGCCAGAGCCAGCGCCATTTCCCCCACTTCGTCCGTTGTTGCCGCCACCCATCATCTGGTGATGGAAACGGCGTTAAGAAAAAAGCACTAATGGGTTACGGGTACTTTAATAATAATAATAATAACGCTCACAATCAACATAGCCCCGCACTAGGGAAACCCTGTGTCGCGGGTGCCATGGACACACACATAGACAACCACAAATTACACCCAAACTCACGAGAGAAATAAATGTAGGTCATACAAACATTTCTCCCGGCCCGGGAATCGAACCTGGGACCTCTGCGTGGCAGTCCGGCATGGTAACCGTTCGGCCATGGAGGCAGTTAAATAAAGCAATTTATAAAATTGGTGAACGTAAAATCTCTACAGATTTGAGGTCTGACCTGAGTGTGCTGCTGGTGGTGGTGGTGCTGCTGGTGCTGCGCGTGATGCGGGTGGTGGTGCGGCGTGTGCTGCTGCTGCGACGCAGCGGGCGGCGGCTGCGGCGGTGGGTGGTATTTGTGCTGTGGCGGCGAATGCGGCGGCTTTTGAGGTTTGTTGGCGCCCTTAGGGGTAGGCGACGCCGCCTCGCACAGTGGCGCGAACCCATTGGCGTGCTCGTGCAGCGGGCTCTTCATTTGCTGCGCGGGCGGCGGCCGCGGTTGTGGCGGAGCATACTGCTGCTGCATCGGCGCGCGGTACTGTTGCTGGGGAAACAAACTTGTTTCACATCCTGCACTCGAGTCGTTTCGTTCTACTTAGGGAACCAATAGATCCGTAGTTGTTTCGTAAGCCGTTGGTTAAAATAACTTAGTTTGATGAACATGAGTTACATTGCTATGGTGCTAATTGGCCAGCACCAACGTTTCAATTTTACCTACCTAATGTTACACACGAGATGGAATTGTTACCTGCATCTGCTGCACGGCGGCGGCCACCTGCAGCTGCGATGAGAGGAACTGCGAGCTGAAGGCGCCGGACTGCGCGGGTGGCGTGAATTGCAGAGGGTACGTGGGTGCCGGCGCAGTCGGCGGCTGGTAGTGCGAATAGTAAGAAGACGCGGGCGGCGCGGGTCGTGGCAGCAATCCCTGAAGTGAATACGGCGCTTCGCCTACTGGCCCTGAGTAGCCCAGGTACTGCTGTTGGTAAGTGTTCACTCCGCCCACTCCGCCGACACCGCCTCCTTTACTACCTGTAGACAAACCGTTGCTCGTAATCACGGCTTGAAACAGCTTTATTATAAGTTTCCTTTTCCACTATTCTGTTATACTTACCTATAGCTCCGATCTGTTGAGTTGAGGGTTTGACCGTAGCTGACATAAGCGAATTAGTTGAGCTTGAGATTAACACAGTACTAGGGCTGTTGCCCAGCTGCCCAGATTGTCCAAAAGCGGCACCGCCACCGGCCGCCGCCGCCTGAAATTATTGTTTAGGTTTAGTTAAAATCTTTAAATAAAAATTTTTAAATTCAATTATAATGACTAAAATTATTTAAAATTCTCACCATTCTGTACTGACTCGGAAGACTTTGAAACATGTCAGGAGGCGGTTGATAGTTATAGGGTGCAGCGGATCCGGCACCGTACGGCGTTCCCGGGAAACCACCAAATTGTCCACGGCTCTGATCGAGGAACGCGCCGTACAGGCCACCTTGCTGCTGTAATTGCTGCGAGGAACCGAGCAACTGTTGTGAAGAGTTAAAAAGAACGGCAGGAGGCGAAGGCACCGATAATCCGCCGTAGCCACCCTGGTAGCCGACGTGGTTGTAATGTTGCGGCGGTGGCGACTGCAGCTGCTGAGTCGGTTTTACTTTACATACGTTGGGAGCTGCACCCGTTTCTGTATTGGTTTCTTCGAAACCAGTAAATTGTAGCTCTTCAGTTCCTTCGGCTACGGCAGGCATTTCCCAAACTTTCTTAACACTAGCAATTTTAAGGTTAAGGTCGGCGGCTAATGGTGAGATTGTATTCGACGTGCTCATGTGCGTACCTCGTGGCAACCCTAATGTCTTAGCTGTTTTATCCTCAGTGAGTTGGCCTAGGTCTGAATCGAAAGCGAAGTCCAATTTCATATCAGATGAATCCTCGGCTTTCTGTGATGTATCAAACGATATTGGCAGACCCAAGGGAGTTTCGCCGTCAGGGGTAGGCCTACCATTGTCACCAATGAGTTCTTGAATAGATCTCGGCCGCGGTCTCACATCGCCGTTAAATGGAAGTGGTCGGGCATCCACTTCAGGTGGAATTTCTTCTCCCGGTGTCGGAGGTTTGGCAGTTGTGTTTGCACCTGGTTGATGTTTTTGTTTTAAGGCCTCGGCAGGTGGAGCAGTCTTATAATTAGTGTTTTCGAAGATAATAGTTTCTACTGGCGGCGTGGTCCCATCGAGAACACCAGTTTTGTCAGTCGCAATAGCACATGGGGCAGTCTTTGTTTCAGTCGGAACGTCTCCGGGTGTGCTGCGCTGACTGGATTGACCAGATTTGTTTTCTACAATCTCTGCAGGTTCTTCCACGTTTCCGCGTAGTGTTTGAGATATAGGTTTGTCCCAAGCGTTAACTGTAGGCGGAGGTGGAGCCGCACCAGTGTCAGGGCCAAACCCAGTAACTAAGCCCATTTGCTTTTGTCTCTGTTTAACGAAACGTGGGGCCAAATTTGCTTGACGAGGCCTGTCGTATTGCGGTCCACCACCTGGTTTACCAGGTACCGGCGCAGAGCCTCTAGGATTGGATTTGTCGCCTGGATTTCTAGAAGAAGAACCATTGCGACCACCTTGATTGGAATGAGATCTTTGTTTCTGCGCATGTTGATTCTCTTCTTTTAATGGACCTCTGGCGTCCTTTGAATTTTTCTTATTTCGTACTTCTTGAAAACCATCATCAACTGACTCTTCGTCTTTTTTGACAGTAGATAACTTAAGGTCATTCATAGCCTCTGTAATGTCACCAGTTTTTATATCTCCAATATCTTTTTTAGCACCCTGTGAGTTTCGAGCATTGTTTTGGCGATTACTTGAGTTTTGATTACGCCCGCCTTGTATTTTCTGTGATTGCCCAGATTGTCTGCCTCCAACAGATCGACGACGGCCGATAGTACCACCTCCTTCGGAATGTTCAGATGTGGTTTCCCAATTTTCGTCCTCACCACTGAGGGGGCCTACAGTTCCTTTCGGGCGACGATCACGTCCTCTACCGGTTGAGGAGCCAGTACGCGTTTTGTTAATCATCTTTCCTTTGTCATCACCCAGAGCGTTATCTTTGCCGTCATCATTATCTTTAACAGCTCTATTGGCTTGGCTGAATGGACTCTTTGTGTTAGGCGGCCCATAACCCGTGACGCGCTTAGCAGGTGCTGGAGGTCGTGATGTACCCTGAAAGCCACCCCGTCCTCGACGCGACGGTTGACCGCGAGGCGCGAAAGGTTCTCTGTTTTCCATACCGTCAGTTGCCATTGAAGCCTGATCGTGTTGTGGAGGGCGATTACCATCATCAGGGCCTTGTTTCTTAGGACCTCGAGGACTACGTGGCGCTCTACGTCGTTCTTTACGTTCCGAGTTAGGAGCACCATCTGTTGACCCATCCGACTCACTTGCCCTATTTTTGGAACGGGAACTTCGATGTGAACGCCGTCCACGAGATTCTCTTGGTCCCCAACCTCTAACATATACTGAGTAACCACCACCATACCCCCTACTTTTCTTTTCAGATCCAGATCCGCTAGACTTTCTTTCAATAGGTTCCTTTCCTGGAATCCTATTGAGTTGTTCATTGCTGAATCTTTCATGTCTTTTATCATCAGTTCGTTTTTGAGAATCAGCTCCAACTTGCACAACCTCGACAGAATGTATTTCGTTGATCTTATTTCCAGCCAAACTTGATGGATCAGTGCTAGATTTAGATGCAATGGATTCAGATTCCGACAACTCTTTCTCAGATTTTTGTGAAGTAAAAGTGGGTTTAATTTGTGGAGGTATATGTTCGGAAGAGGGCTGTTTTTGTATTTGAGAGGCAGAAAGATTTTCAGTTTGGTTAAGCGATTTAGAAAGATTTACAGTCTTAGGAACAGTTTGACTATCAGATATAATAGAATGAGATTGATTAGTAGCAGGAATATTTTGCAAAGGAACATTGTGTTGATTTATTTGAGATATTTGCGTGGTCTTCAGCGGCTGGTTTTGCGATGGCAGAGCCTCAGACAAAGTACAAGTTTGTTGAAGTGGGATAGGCTGTTGTGAAATGCATTTATCTTCACCTTCAGCCTCATTTTGAATTGAGTCTTTCATTTGCTCGCTGTCTTTAGTAAGTTTTTCTTGTGTGGATTTTAGAATTGTATAATTTGTTTGCTCATCTTGGGTGACATCAGCCCAAGAAGTTTTACCGAAATCTCTCTCGGAAGATTCGCGTCGTGATGCATTTGAAGGTGGCGAGTTACGACGTTCGGGAGCCTGAGTCTGTATAGACGAGTCTGAAGATGCAAATGGCTCCGTAAGCCCGATGCTTTTTCTTTCAAAGACTTCAGTAAGTTTATCAGCGGCAGTTCTACTGCTGGTATGTTCAGCAACACTTTCTGAAGATTTTCTATCGGAGTCGTTTCTTCGATCCTTATAATCTCCATAATCCTTATAGGAATCTTTAGAATTTGACCTATCCAACTCTCTGGTTGGTCTATCATATTCTTGCATCTCTGAACGCCATTGTGGGCCAGGACCATCCTTTTCTCTTCTGAAGTCATCTTCACGATCAGAGTAATCTCTGAAATAAAATAGAAAAAATTTAATCAATTTAATCTTTCAAGAAACAATGTAAAGCCAGAAACATAAGTTCACAATTTTTACTCTTACCTTGAATACGACCTGCGGCCACCATTGTGAGGTGCATGTCGCGGTGCATTATACGACGGAGGCTCTTGTCGCCTAGATGCTGGTTTACCAGGGAATGCCCAGGCCTTGTGTTGGTCCTCCTGTTGCCTATTTTGTTGTTGTTTCAAGAATCGCGGTGGTATATTAGCTTGGAACGTTTTGGAAAATGCTGGATTATTTTGATCGCGATCACGACCATAATCTCTATCTCTATCTCTGAAATCGCGGTCGCGATCATTTCGGTCCCTGTCAACGCGATCGCGTTCGCGGTCAAATCTATCACGGTCTCTGTCATTGCGATCTCTGTCACGAATGTCCATACGTTCCTTTTCATTCTCTTGGCGATCGCGGTTATCCATACGACCTCTCTCCCTACTCTCTATTCGGTCACGCTCGCGGTCCCTGTCCCTAACGTCACGGTCTCTGTCGCGGACGTCACGGTCTCTGTTGTCAAACCGTTCACGATCTCTATTATCTAGTCGTTCCTTGTCTCGCGGATCTTTGTCACGAGGATCACTGCGCTCTCGATCCTTGTCTCTATTGTCCAATCGTTCTCGGTCTCTGTTATCGGGACGTTCCCTGTCTCTATCCATTCTTTCTTTGTCTCTGACGTCTAGTTCCCTATCACGGTTCTCATTTCGATCACGCTCTCCTCTGTCTACCCTTTCACGAGAATCCTTGTGTATGGTGGGTGCCATCTCGCACATCTGTCGCCGTTGCTCTTCCTCTTTGCGCTGTTTAGCACGTGCCACCGCTTGAGCCACTTCATTAAGCTGCTTCTGTCTTCGTTCCGCCCACATCTGATCCTCATCTCCAGGTTCCAAGATTTTGGAATCTATGCGCTCATGTTCAATACTGGCGCGGTTATTATTCTTACTGTTCACCTTGCTCGGCGCCGACGACTCTCCATCGGAGAAATCCAGTTTTTGACTGTAAAAAGAATATACCAGTATGACGACAAAACTATGACACTAAAATATATACAGAGTTTAAATGTCAGAAAGAAATACTAACTCATAGTCAATATCGTCGTGCTGTGCCCAGCCGGCATCGCGCGAGATGTCGTCGAGCGAGGAGATTTGTTCCTCGCGGAGTATGGGCCGCGCTGTAAGCACTTCAACGGCGCGCGGCGTGGCGGGAGGACGCGGTGCCCCTCGTGACGCTACGTTGGTGGCGCTGAGTGAGCCACCACCCCCGCTGCCGCTACCTCCGCCACCGCGGCCCTCGCGCATGTTGCCTAGCGTGCCCAGCCCGAGCCCGCCACCGCTGCTACCTTTCATCAGCTGTGGTAGATAAACCAACATGAGAGTATTCGCTTTTTAAGCTGTACGCATTTACAAAACAATGTTAACATGACATAAAAGTAATTGGGTATAAGGAAATAATGTAAAAAGAGGGCGATAGTTTTGTGTCAATGAAGAACAATGTGACTTACGAAAGAGGGTAGGATGGCACGAAAGGCTGGTGTCTGCTGTGAGGCGGGAACGGCGGCGGGCGCGGCGGCGGGACAAGCCGAGGCGTCGCCGCGCACGCTGACGCCACCACCGCACGTCCAGCTGCCTTCCGCTGCAAACAATATTGCATTTTTATCAATGCTCTAAATATGTAACTTTCTTACAACTTCACAACTTTTATTAGAGAAAAATTATTGTACTGTAAAATTATTGATGTACGAGCTTACTTTGTGGTCTGAGCTGTGGCTGGTTCGCTGAATGTTCTGAAGAGCGATGTGAAGGCTGCGCAGCGGCCTCTAGGGAAGGGAATTCTGTGCGGAAGTGTGGTGAAGATGGAGGTGGGAGCGGCACCCACCCGCCGGGGCCCGTGCCCGCAACTACACCGCTGCTGGATGACGTAGTCTGTAAATAAATAACCTGTTACAACCACACTTGGACATACATAGGATATTCACATTATAAAGCAGCAGTACAACATTAATATTTAGGTCTCAAAAGTAAGAAGTGACTTTGGTTGAAATGTAAACAAACAGTGAATGAACCTCCATGTTAATTGTATTCCAGGTATTGTAACACTACACATAGAACAGCTTAAATATTTACACAGCCTGTATGATTCAATGTTTGAACCCAACATACAAAACAAAGGAAATGAGTATACTCACTATAGTCTGAGAGGTGCATGTTGCTGGTGTAGATACAGAAGTAGTTGTAGCAGCAGAGATAGAGCTGAAATTATAGAAAGGGTTGTTTTTGGTGACTCAACTCACAATGAATAAACGTTTTTGGAACTCCATGACTTGTGTATCTCTTAAAACTATTCAAATGTGTGTTTATATTGTGCAATCACTATTATTTCCTTTAGAATTATATTATGTACTATCTCTTGAATACTTATAATATAGTAAATGTTACTTACTTAGAGTTTGGGTCTTGACCAGTTTCAGTTTTCAAAGAAGGCAGATTGGCTGGTGGACGCCTTGCCGAAGGGACTTTACCAAGACTTTGCATTCCATGTTTACGGCTAAGTTGAGATTTTACTGAGGACGGTTCTGAATTTTCGTTCTGAAATAACCATATCCACATTACATTTTATCTAGAGATTATCTAGATATTATCTGGAAGTAAAATATCTTTGATTATGTGTCTGCTACTACGCATGTATTCAAGATATTTCACAAACAATACTAAGGGGTCAATGACCTCGCGACATTTGGCAATGTAGTAAAAAATAAAGTGTTTCTAATTATATCCATTAAAATTAATCTTGTGCTGTTAATTGTCAGTGTGAATTTTTTTGTTGCATTCAAAGCAATCAGTTATGAATATTCTGGAAACGTTGATATCTACATCGAACAAAATTTATACACAATAATTATAAGCTGAAATTGTCATCTAAGACAACAACTAGCTATTCCATAGGCCTTCAGTAGAAGGAATTATGGCAATCAGCTAGGAAGTTTAATAGAGTTGAGCAATCAAGGTCAGTCTATTCAACTATGCATTAAATCAGCATTTTATATTGTTGATCTTACCTCCATTGTAATAGACAATAAAACTCAATGCCTCTAACAATTAAAAAGAACAAAATTTTTAAACTATGCTGGGAATGTTAAAGCAGAGCAACTAGTCAGATTTGTGCCAAAACTCAATATAAAAATAGTAAATAGCTTTTGGAAATGTTTCCAATCTATTTCAATAATTCTTAATATTCTTACCAGCCGATAAAGAATGTTATATTGCACTATTTTTCATAATATAAATAACATCTTACCAAAGAATGCATGAACAGATTCAATAGAAAAAAAATCAAAACTGTGTCAACATTTTGAGGATGAATGACAATCATGCAATATTTCATCAATGTCCTTGGCTTACATGGCCCAAAAAGGCTTATGTTGAGCTCGGGTAATCTATAATCTATATATTGACTACCCAGAACTCTAAGTCTAGTTAATATAAATGTTCTGTTAATAACATAATATTTACGAAATTAGAAAGCTCCATAAGATAACAGACAAAAGTAGTTTTGAAAATTTGAATTTTCAAAGCTTCTTTCGACTATTAAAAATGATTCAAGGTGACTGTTGTATACATATCGACCCTTAAAGCCTAGTGTCCCTATACAGATATTGAAAATATGTTCATGTACTTACTCTATTAGCGCAGTATAAGCTATTGATGTCCAACTTTTGATACTTTTGCTTGCCGGACGCCGGCTTGCTCTGCGCCGTAGTTCCTCCGCCACTCGGCGTTGAGAGTGCAGACATGCTGCGATGTACACACCATCAGGAGGTCACCCTCGCACTGACCACCAACTGCAATCAGCCAACCAGCACATCACTCAGCACCCTGACCCCTTTACAGGAAACTGCTACTTTAATGACCAAGCACGATTGTCCTTCGACACGAACAAATTACTATTAGATACACTACAATTATTCCAGATTGTCACTAGTACAGAACTTTAAGGCAACGTACTTAAATGAAAAATGTCAATCACTATTTACGGAAACAAAAATCACTTTCACAGCACTGATAGGACAATAAATTTGAGCCCTGCCCTCCCCAGTATATTGACGTGTTACATCCGTACAATGAACGTTGGATCGATGACTTCCAAATATTCTTGATTTAGATGTTACACTGTACCACCTGTTATACGTATTCAAGTGGTTAAAAATCTAGCTCAAAATAACGGTACTAACAAGGCTGAAGTAGAAGAACGGTAAATAACAAACTAATTTTTGTTATTTAATGCAACAACAAAAGCGAAATAAATTTGTACCTGGGTCCGTTACACACGCAAATACGTAATAAAAATTATCTAAGCTCGTATGCTCGTTCTCTAATGAAGATTACTTTAGATTTTTACTATATTCTACGCTACCAAAACTTATATCACTTTATTTTAAGATGGCGTCTCCAAAAGACGATCTCCTTCCTTTTCAATCAATAGTGTGACGTCACAAAGAATGAAGACGCGTGACAGCTCACTCTAGTGGAGAAAGATAGAATTAAATAAAATTCGTATAGTAAAACTTAATTACATTTTGAAAACATTTCAATTTGTAGGCGGTTGGATAATGAAAGTAAAGAACAATTGTGGCAAATAATTAATTCGACAAATAGTGATATATGAAGTATAGAAATTAATCTATATTAAGTTTACCAAGTATCCAAAGCAATATATTTTTTTTAATGTTGTGAAATGTTACCATTACTGTAAAACATTCCTCTCATAAGAAAATGAAGATTTTTCAACAGCTCATAATTTGCTTATTCGTTAGCGCAGTCTTACAGTAGTGGTTAAAGAGACAAACTGTGTAGTAATTAACTTAGAGGGTGGAAAAAAAAAAAGTAATTACTCATATTTTGATAGTCAGATTTAAATTTGTTACATTAATGTTAAGCCGTGTCATACGACATTTTTAAAGTATAATGCACATTGGTTGGCATCTTGGCTAATCTAGGCATTTATAGTGCACATGTTCGCTATTATATTAATCAATATGTTAATTAGTGAATGTGGCGTTTTCGAGATGTATCGTATTTCGAATCAAACGTTTTTATTATTTGTAACACACATTTATGTACATTTTTGACAATATAATAGCAACCTTTTATCTATCAGGTAACGTCAAATGGAGAATTTTGACGAGGTCCTATTCTGACCCATAATATAAATTAGCTGACACTTCTAATATCTTCTTGCTGAACCTGTGACCGTAACGTAATAATTTAATTATGGTAGCGATTGAGTAGCAAAGGTAGCAAAGGATTGAGTAGCATATGTGATGATACAATTTAAAAATTCTAATTTAATACTGGTCTATAGTAGCAAACATTTTCTACTGCAGTTTTGTTCTAAGTACACATTCATGTAACGAAAACATTGATGTTGCCATATTTCCTACTGACCACATATATCTATGCGCCTCAATTTACTTATAGGTATAATCTAGATATACTTCAGCTGAAAAGCTTGAAAGATTTTTCTCGTAGAGAAAGAAATATACTTTGATTCTCCTCAGTTTACGCATGCGCAATACGTTTTGTCGGTCCATATTGATGAACTAAAAATCAGTAGGCAAAGATCTGCGGAGAAGTTCATAAAACGAGGAGTGTTTAACAAAACCGGCAGCCATGGCCGGGAATATGGGAATGGAACAATTGATTCCAATTGTCAATAAACTTCAAGATGCTTTCACGCAACTTGGAGTGCATATGCAATTGGATTTACCACAAATTGCCGTAGTTGGTGGTCAATCTGCAGGCAAGAGTTCAGTACTAGAAAATTTCGTCGGCAGGTACGTTAAGTACTTAATTGCATAAATTTAAGTTCTACTTTTTTTTCTTTCTTTATTTGTAATTCATACGCACCACTCTGACACACATTTTTCCAAATTATTTTTCATGGCATCTCAAAACATCATCTAGTCTAATTACAGTCCTTTGACACCACAAATTAATTAGGTGAGCATTTTATTGCTCATTTTCAAAAATTATGTTGTTCATACGTATCCATTGTATGTTGAAAAACTATGTCATTTAAAAGGGTAAAAATTAAAGAAAAAGATTAGCATGTATTTAATTTCTTCACCTATTAAAATACTCGTTGTAAATTATTGTATTTGTATTATATTTTGAGATAATTTCACATAGTGGCCTAGATTTCATGCGCATGTCAAGAAATATTGATTTACAAATTTATGAAATGTCATTGGTTGAACCTCTGTTTATTCTGCGCAGAAACATTTTGATCTGACATAATATTTGTTGTATTCATAGTCTCGGTCATTCATAATTACGATTACTTTAAATCGTGATTCTTAATCGCTTCCATGTAAAATATTATGGTTTAAATTGTAGATGTGTAAGCTGCGTTACAAACATTTACTACCGACATTTCAATCATATATCTATTTCAACGTTTATAGCTACGCAATCATAAGTGTGAAAGAGATGTTAATTATTTTGAAATATGCGGTCTTCTTGTGCTTTGTTTCTTTTGACAGTCGAAACGTAACGTAACCACCCACCATATTGAAAGAGTAGTTTATCGATGATGAATTGGACGATAAGCAAGTGCTAGTGATTTCGAAGTGTAAATCTTTAATGTATCTCAGAAAAAATGGCAGGGAATTATGGAATGCAACAGTTGATCCCGATCGTAAACAAATTACAAGATGCATTCGTGCAAATGGGCGTGCACATGTCTTTGGATCTTCCACAAATTGCTGTTGTGGGTGGCCAGTCTGCTGGAAAAAGTTCAGTTCTAGAGAATTTTGTCGGCAGGTGAGATTCTCATTCTTATTATATACCTGAGAGGGGAAATTTATCACGCTTGATGGTTAAAGGAGTGCATTCACTCTTCCTATCTTTATTTCCTGTTTACCTTATTGGGTGCAGAATATGAACGCTAATGTAGTAATTAAAGAATCTTAACAAAGACAAAGAAGCAGTATATTGCAGACTTAGAGTTATTTAAATGTATATTTGTAGAGCTTAATAAGCTGAGCCTGGTATAGTGAGTCATCTCATAAGGCATTTGTAAAGGACTGCAATTAGTAATTACTTGGTAATACTTTGAACTTATTCCTAAATGCGAATAATCTTAGAAGAAGAGCAAATATTTATACAATAAGTTCAAAGTACACTTTATTGGAAGCTGCCTAAACGAGGTGTGTACTATTACAGGCTTTTGCCTATCTAAATATGGTTTAAAAATAATGTTGTAGTGTGAGGAAAGTGACGAAGATCCAAAATGTATTTTTATTTCATAGGTAAGCAAATAACACTAATATGTAATTCAGAGTGTAATTAAATTATTACTTGTAAACAAATTCATTTTAGATAAATACAAACTTACTTAAGCTTCTGTTGCATACTCAGTATTGTGAGAAACCTACTAAGACGCTGTACCTTAATAAAACTTAAAAATAAACATCTAAATATCTACTTTAGAATGTAATCTACAAAATAGGTGCTCACATATTCATATTTATAGAACTCACTTAAGCTTCTATTGTCTGTAGACATTACTTTTAAATATATGTTATTTTACCAACACGCGCACAGAGGCCTTCACAATTTTTCTATCTTTTCTTTGAAGTGACTATATTTAACTTTTTAGATACTGAAATATAATTTTTGAATATTCATGGTGATTGCTACATAAATAATTATTACAATAGTTATAATGATAATGTGCTAGACAACCACATCATCATATCATATGTACCTGGTTTTAAAGTAATAAATTCTGAAAATGCCTGAGCCATGGTATACATTTGGGGGGCGCCACCTAGAACACCAAAACCATGACCAATATACAAAAGATCATTTTACTGAGAATTGAAACCGGGACCTCCACAGTGGAAATTATTGGGGCACCGAGGTCTAAAAAAGTATGATATGAATATCTGTAGTCTTATTTCCCAAGACCTTGTTTAGTCTACTGAAAGTCTATGACATGTTTCTACTAGAGAGAAACGGATATTGCCTCTGATACTTTATCACCAGTGAATTGTATGCCCTGAATTACTATCATATTTTATCAGCCATTGTATTGCATTTTATTTCCCCTCCGAGGCCTTCTTTTTAATGAAATCTACTAAAAATTGAGATTAACAATTAATATATACATATTATGTTAACAATATCAGCCTAAGACTTGTGTGACATGTTATGGAGAAATCACACAAACAATTTGTGAGGCACATAAACATAGAATTAGGCAAATAGGCATTACAGTCACTGAGTAATTGTATCACTATAAATTAGTGATTGATTCTCCAAAAATTTTATGAGGTGCTTCCTTAAAATGTACCCTTTGTACCTTCATATTCGTCATAATGTCAGTTTTTATCATGAGACCAAATATTATTTAATCCAAACATTGTATTGTTGCATTCATGTACAATTTTAAAACTGAAATGGTGCACAATTATAAACATTTTTGTGGATGACTCACCATATAGAGTCATAAATTATATGGCTGGACCAGGTACATTGAATGACTTCAATCAACTTAGTTCAAGGTTTGTCAAATTTATAAAATAATTTGAACAATTGCCAGCAGAATTACTGACAATTAAATACAATTAACGTGTGTTAAAATTGCACATAATAGGCATACTTGTTTATAATGTAAAGTTTCCCATCTTGTGACGAAAGAGATAGGTATTTTATAATATATATTTTATAATATATATTTTATAGTTTCGCAAACAGGAGGTGGTTTGAGTCCAGCCAGATCGAAGGAATGTTTCTTTATGTTTGTTCCATCTTTGTATCAATAATAACACCAAACTAGCGGGTATTTTCACATTAAAAATCAAAATTATTGCATTAGAAATAAATATTGCAATCTATAACTATTTCTATATGTTACAAATAAAAAAAATAACATAGAAATAAATTTGATTGCTGTAAAATGTTGTTTAATTTAAAAGAATATAGCACATTTCATATTGGTTTGTAATTGTTTTCTAAGCGAATTACTATTGGGAGGTAAGAACTTTTTTGTTTAAATGTTTAGGTGCTAATTTAGACTTGACCTTGAAGTTATGTGACTACGCAAGTAAACATGTAAAGGTAATCCCTCCACTCTCATTGACACACTACAATATAGCAATATTTATCATTACATCAAGACCATGTGTTTTCTGCGTCAATCAATTTAGTTAAAATGATTTGTTATGTGGTAACTCTACAACATAATTGATTAATGTAAATAAAACATGACATGAAGAAATTAGTTTATAAAGGATGTTTTTAAAAAAAATTAGTTTATAAAAGTTGAAAAAGAAGAATTTATTTTTTATTTTCATAAAAATATATCTGATGCACAAAATAGTTCTTATTGGTCATTATCAGTACATAAACTTGCCATATTTATTATCAATTTATGTGTTAGTAAATATTGTTGATATTTTTTCTGAGTAATTGAGATACATTACTCAGAATGAAAATGTATTATCTATTTTGGCAACTTTGTCGCCAAATATCTATATTGTTCATTATTGTTTATTAAACTGAAGAACTCATTTATGTAATTGTCAATAGCATGAATACCTTTTTCCGCTTGACGGCACAAGTGAAGAGGGGAGAACAACATTTATAAAAATAGTTTACTTAAGGAGTAACTATTAACTAAGGTGCAGAAGTGATAGTTGTTAATCGCTTATTACACTAACTGATTTCAAGGCACCCTGACTACAATTGAGTAAGGCGTACTAAAATTAGGGAGTAAGGGTCCTAAATTTGGGCGACTTATATAAATTAATAAGAGCGACGCCCTAATTAGTAGCCACGCCCACTCTTGACGCAGGGCCTTTAAAAACGGGTAGTGTAATAAGCGTTTTAATTAAGAATCAAATATCTCCAACATTTATATACAAATAATTTTATGTAGATTTCGACTTCCACAAAAGACTTGACCCGACTAATGTCTCGAAGTTCGCGCCTTTAGTTAAACAAAATCATGAACTTTTAGGCTCATTTATATTGCGGCGGAACGGAGTGGAAGCGAATCTTCATAACGATGCTCGGGAATGCTCGAGCATTCCCGGGAAGATTTTGGCTCGTATCTGGTTTGTACGTTACACAATTGACCATAAAGTTCATTATGCTATGTAGGTACTATATCGTTACAAAAATCTGCTTCCATTCCGTTCCGCCGCAATATAAATTGAGCCTTAGTGAAAGCCGTACTTACTCGTACAGATTTTGAACTTACTATAGTAAAGAAAAACTATCAACGACAACGAAAGCGACAGTTGTTATAACGAGAAATCGTTTTGTTGCAGAGACTTCTTGCCCCGAGGTTCCGGCATTGTCACCCGACGTCCATTGATTTTACAACTTATACATGGCAATGCAGGTAAATAACGATTAGTGTTGATATTTGTGTTTTATGTCTTACAAAAACATAAAAGGACTTGGTTATATGTACTATGTTGCCAGTATATACATTTTGTTTCTTCAGTTTGTGATCATTAACCTTCAGCTGCCTCACGTAGAGTTGTTCCTCTAATTGGTTTGCACCGTTGGCGGTGTAAATTTAGATACTAAAATAAGTAAATATATAGTCTACTTTCTTATTGCAGGACTTTAGGCATTAAATGACAACTAAAAATGAAATAAGTTTATTGTATCAACATTTTTGTGTTCATGGTTGTTTCGCTGACGAGTTTTTCTGTTATCAGCTCCGAATTGACGTTTGTCACAAGTGTACAAGTATTTTGTTAGAATATAACATTGAACAAGTTGATTGCTTCGCGTATCTGGATTATTTTTACTAGAAAATCAAGCGGTTGAATTGAACGTTATAGATGAAAGAAACATTTTTAGCCAAGATAACGCCATACATCCGTACTAGCTATTTTCATTTGTTACGACGCAGTTTGGTTATGTTCATGCGATTTTACATCGACGAAGAGTGATACGTGTTGTATACATTGAGCTGGCTGTTTCCTTTTTAGCCCCCTATGCATGTCGCCTTTCATAATATTGTTTCATTTATCGCCCATGGGCCGCCATTCAGGCGGTGAATAATTCTAAGTAATATATCTTACGTAAAACCAGTCTAATTATGTGTATTTTCAATTTACGCGATCAGTACATGACGATTTCGTTTTAATTAGAGTAATGTTTACTCACGGAAAGACCATGACTTTGGTGAACAATACAGCTGTGAAGTAGTTACTGTAGTTGGATAATATTAGATAATTACATGACTCATCATAAGGTACTTTAGAATGACTCTACTAATAATAGCATTATTTTTTTCGTGTTAAGCAAATTGCCTATGTGGAATTAACTCCACTCATGTGGTTTTCGTTACGTCATTCAGGTTATGTACAAGACCCGTTACATGATAGAAACAAATCTATTTGTTTCCTTTTGATTTTGTTGTTTATTTATGTAAATAATTTCCATTGAAAACTTGAGTTGCAAATTTGTAACGTTTTTATACGATAGGTTATACTACGCTGGCTTCGAAAACAACTGCCTTTTGCCTCAAGTATAAATCCACACGCATATTCATAAGTATCTTACATAATAAACATACTTAGTTAAAAACTATGTAGTTTTTAAAAACTATGTAGTTTTTAACTAAGTATGTTTATTATGTAAGATACTTATACATAACTTTGCCGACAAATTTGGAAATAGTAGAAAGTATTGATGCGCTTGCTACAATATCCCCGTAACTCAGATTTTTTCTTTATTTCTCAGAATATGCTGAGTTTCTGCACTGCAAGGGCAGAAAGTTCGTGGACTTCAATGAGGTACGCAGCGAGATCGAGGCGGAAACTGACCGCATCACCGGATCTAATAAGGGAATTTCTCCAGTGCCTATAAACTTGCGCGTGTATTCACCTAATGGTACGTATTATTATTACATCTATGAAATCGCCGTTTGTTTAAAAATCAAGTAGAAAAAAAATTGACAATGACAAAGGCGAGAATCCGTTTTAGGCTGTGTGTATACCTCAGCGGAACGTAGCTGAGGTGAACAACACGGCGTAGTATGTTGTGTGCTGTGCAAATGACTGCATACGACGAGACGGCCGAATCGAGTAATACCGCCGATACTGATAGAATCTTTGCCCTGCAAAAATGTGCGGTTAGAGTAAGGTTAAAGAAATTAATATTCCTACACTAATATATTTATGAAAATTTCATTTAAGTAAAGAATAATATTTTTTTAATGAAAAATAGTGATAAATCGAGTTCTTAGGTTTTCGCGATTGTTACTATTTTTCCGGAATTAAATCGCGTATATTTGTTTTTTCACACATACTAAAGTTTCGGGCCTTTTACAGGTCCATGGTCACGGTTGACTAAAGTTGGCGTTGGTTTGTTTGAACAAACAACCCAATAATTTAAATCCGGAAAATAGTTTCATTTCGTAATAGTGATGAACTTAACATTAATACGAGCAATAAAAATAAACTTGATTTTTTTTGACAGTCGTCTTCACAAAGTCACAAATTAATTTAAGGGGCAATATAATATAATTGTATATTATATAATAACACCCCGGTTGATTTAAAAAAAAATGTCATTTTCGAGGTAAAACTACAGTGAAGTAAGGCTACGCAGTAGGACCACGGTCAATGAACCGAAACAAAAACTTTACATTTAAAGTTATTTTACAGCTTCTACGTACTTGGATTACAAAAATCTGTGGTAGTGACGCATTTAGCTCTTTGCAAGTTATCTCGATCCTTGATATTAGAAATACGTATTATTGTAAAGTGATAAACATGTACAAATGTTTATTTACAAAGAGAAACCCCCAAAAAGAAAATATAATAAGAAAGAAGAGATCCATAATTAACCTTAGAACTAAGTCCAAACTCATGTTACCTCGATTTCGTTTAATAAGGTAAACGATTCTTTTATAGAGGACCTGTATACGTTTGTACAATAATATTGCGGAGCATATATTAAGATTATCATTTCCTAAATTTAAAACTTACATTCAAAGTATTTTAATTGAAAAGTCACATTACAAAATTGAAGAGTATGTGTTAAATAAAGATGTATGGAAAGACAACATGAATCTAGATTGCACACAATTATGATTCAAAGTGTATTCCATAACACTTAAGTTTGTTTGAAAAGAGCAATCCTTAGAGTTTCTTGCTCGTTCTTCTCAGTGAGGTCAAAGTAGTGAACGAGCAGTAGCTTAAAAAATGACGTGTTCAAGTGTAAATTTTTTATCTATGGAATAAATGATTATTTGACTTGGACTTTGACTAAAGTATCTTACTCATTCTTCGCTAGGGAATCTGCCTTACTAATGACTAATAGGGTTTTATCTCAAGTGTAAGTTGTTTACCTATGGAATAGAGATTATTGGAGTTTGATAGACTCGTTTTGAAATAATGCAAATTCAAATTTGTCTTGCTTAATTGCGGTATTAGTAAATTTAGTACAAGTTTGCTCCGCGTTTGAGTACGAATTTTGCATTATTTTTCTTCTGATTAGTAGCATTTAAACTGCCCAGCTCATTGGTTTTGATTAATTTTCCCTTATGTCGGAGGTTAAGAACCTATCAAACTTCGTATCTGTGAATTATAATCAATTTCGTTTCAATGCATATATGTATCGTAGCATATATCAGCGTGATTCAAAATATTTATCACATTCGATTAAATTATAACGTTAACAGTTTAGTCATATTCTGACAATGCATGTGTAATTTTTAGCTGCGTACGACGTACCTCTTGATTAATTTCTCCAAAACATGCAAATTGTTCTTACAAATATTTATGTTGATAGCCTATTTAATGTCCTATATTCGGACATTTGTTAAATATGTTTGCGCCGTATCGGCGCAATACTTACGGATCAGGTAATGCTTTGCTCAAAGTGGTGTTAATAAGCGGTTAACTTTGCATTAAGTGACTGATCCAGATATTTATAATTAAACGGACTTGCCCCCGTTCTACCGATTCATATGGCGACATCACAAAAGTATACTCTTAAGTATTTAATATTTAAAAAATGTCTTTTATTTTATATACGCCTAAAGGATCCACTCTTGGCTACAATATCAGTTTATTTAAAAAATGCCTATTCACTGTAATCTTGAATAGTCCTAAATTGTACTTTTCGGTGAAACATTGATACGTTGTGTAGCGTATTACATTCCTTTGCCGTACGCATTAGGAAGAATGAAGCGAAGCGCTTCGTAGGTACTATGTATACTTCGTAGGTAGGTATATCAACGACATAAGGATCAAATTAGTGCAAGGATTCATAAAATTATATATTGCATACTTTATTTATTTTATTGAAGATCGTGATGTTTTTCCTACCGTGACTTTCTTATATTTATAATAAAAAAGCCGTTTGAACTCAATAACAAAGATCGGCAACAGGCATAAAGAGAAATTCGTAATGTCTGCTGATTGTTTTAGTAGCTCAGTTAGGACAGCGGTAGCCCCGGTCTGGCAAACAGTAGCTGGTTCGAATCCAGCCAGATGGAAATTACTGTAATTTTGAATATAAAACCAGTCAGAACATCCCGTATTACCCAACTCTTTGTACCAGCCAGGACAAAAAGAGTCATTTCTCAAAATACTTCCTGAAGATCCTATCGTTTTCCGGTGACATTACATTCCCCGATTGTCCTCAAGTCATTTGAAGGCAGACGACATCTAAATTGCCGTCACGAGCTGCGCAATCGTTCACCTTTGACGACTCCCATTTCCGAATAATCAGTCGCGGTGTCGCTGACCTATATTACACTATATCTCGCTGCTCGAAACTATAGATTGCAATTGGCTAAATGTTTTTGATATATTATGTTCTATATATAACTCGCGACGTTATTACGACTCTCATTTTTGTGTAGAGTTTCTTTATTGTGTAGAGTTTCTGTATGATTGCCCTGCTTCTGGTTGAATGACTTGTACGTTAAGTGACCTTTTTTATGCCACGCGACGGTGGCATATAGAACGATACGCGTGCCCCGCGCTCGTAACTGAAGGAACATTAATGACTACATAGGGCCCACTATAAGTTTCCGGAACTGGGCACTTACATAAACAATATTTAAAAAAATTACATTTGAAAATGGAACTCTTTGGCTGTAGATACAGTTTGTTTCGTCTGACTGTCACTTGTTTTTACATTGTGGCGTCATTTTAGAAATTGGTTGTCTAAATCACCATGGCTTTAACTCGTGAAAATTTTCGTAGTGTGGTTTTCTACGTCTTTAAGTGTAATACAAGACGACTATTTATAGCTGGTTTGTAGAATTCAAACGTGTGTGTGAATCTCAGTGGCGAATTTCGTGGTGGTTGCGCGTACACTGCTGTGAACAACAAAAACATTGATGCTGTGCGCCGTATGATCGAAACAGACAGTCATGTGACATACCACGAGATTCGGGCATCTTTAGGCATAGGCATGAGTCAAATACAATCAATACTACACAAACATTTGGGTGTGAAAAAGCTGTTCTCGGTGGAACCCACACAATTTGACTGAGGATCGCGTCACTTGGTGCAATGCTATGCTTACCAGATTCAACGAAGGTGCGTCAAATTTGGTGTGGGACATAGTAACAGGTGACGAAACATGGATTTATAGTTACGATCCCAAAACAAAGCAGCAATCGAGCGTATGGGTCTTTAGATGAGCCGAAACCAACCAAAGTGGCGCGCGTGCAAAGTTCCTCTAAGCGTATGATTGCCTCTTTTTTTAATAAAACTGAACACGTAGCTACTGTTGCTTTGGAGATTCATTGTACCGTGAATAGTGATTGGTACACGACCATTTGTGTACCGGAAGTTATTGACAAACTCCGTAAAAATAACCGTAAACGCCGTATAATCTTGCACCACGATAATGGCAGTTCTCACACGGCCAGACAGACAAATGAATTTTTGAAGGTGAACAACGTTGACCTTATGAGCCATCCCGCGTACAAGTCCCGACCTGGCACCTTGTGACTTTTATTTATTTCCAAAAACTTAGAGCCAGCCAAGTTCCGGTCAACGATTTTCATCACCTGAAGAGGTTGTCAAAAAGTATGAAAAATATGTTTCAGAGATTGTCACGGAGGAGTGGCATAAATGTTTTCAAAATTGGTTCATTCGTATGAAAAAGTGCATTAACGCTAACGGAGAATATTTTGAGAAACAATAAATTAATTTCTGACCATTTATAATATTTTTTTCTTATTCATTTCGGAAACTTATAGTGCGCCACGCGTATGTTCTGACAATGTTCTTATGTTGTCTCGTAATTTCATGTTTTTTTTAAACTGTGCGTCAAATAACAGTTCGCCATCTGGGTTGATTTTCACGTGCCACTTGTCGATAATGTGCTGTATTAATACGTGGCACAGAAGCACAGAGATTTATTAGGTAGGTACAAATTTATTTTATATCATATATATTCGATTTAAAGTTCTAAGTGGCACTACAACTGTTTTGAATAGGCGTTTAGTTTACCATCATGCGCACGAGTCGTTCGTCCCGTCGCTTAATACTAGTAAAAAAAACAAATAATTTCAGAGAGGTCAGTTTCCACCCAAATGATTTAAGTTAAAATACAAATCAAAATACTTTTTATAATTTTAAACATTTACTTTACCATAAAAATTGAACTGATAATTCAGTTCAAACGTAATCATCGTGTATATTTAGGAGTAAAAAGAATTATAGAAACATCGTATCATTGACATTTTTTTCCCGTTGTAATAATGCCCAGTGATAGTTAAGGTTTCAAAAGATAACATTGAAGAGGTTGTAATCACTACGCAGTAATTGTTATTAACAGTGTGTGATTTTTTGGGTTCTTAGGGTTTTGCGATTTACACACATTACAAATGAAACTAGATAGATAGATAGATAAAACGTTTA